ATGTGCAGGCCTCCACCTGTGAGCAGACGTTTCTCAGCCTCTCTGTGTTGACAGCTCACAATCAGGATGTCCAAACTACCCCACTCCCAGCCTTCTTCCCCCAGATCTGCTCCTTCCTTATCTCAGAAAATCACTTCCATCTTTCCAGTTGCTCAGGCCAAAACAAACAAAACAAAGCAAAGCAACCCTCTCTGGCCTCACGTCCAGCTGTTGGCATGTTCTGTTTCCTGTATCCTCTAAAGTACACCCAGCATTTAGTCCCCTCTCTCTGCACTGCTCTGTCTCCTTCCCTTTCTGAGCCACAAGATACAGATACCCCGTGACTCTCCCTGCCACCCCCTACCCCACTCTGTCCCCAAATCAATCAGATGATCCTTCAGAACACATCGCATCCCCGCCCCCAGACCTCTCCGTGCTCCCCCTGAGGTCAGGCCACACACAGCATCCTCCTTCCGTCACCACCTCCTCTGGGCTCTGGGAAAAGCACTCCAAGTCCACTTTCAGATCATTGGCTCTGTCACTTATCCCAAGCACATATTGCTAAGCTTCCCTTTCCTCATGCCTAAAACAGGAGTATTACTAGTAGTGTTCCTGCTCATGTGTTAGTCACAGAGTGGTATAAGTAGCATTTCCTAGTGCCAATAGTATTAATGATGATGCCTCAGGGTCTGGCTCTGTGAGTTGTGTATGTTTACTCTCTCCCCTCTTTTTCTTCCCCCTAAATAGGGTCATTTGTTGTGTGGGATTTTTTTTCCTCCCCAAAGCCCCAGTTCATGGTTGTATATCCTAGTTGTAAAACTTTCTAGTTCTTCTGTGTGAGCTGCCACCACAGCATGGCAACTGACAGATGGATGGTGTGATTCGATGACCGGGAAACAAACCCGGGCTGCTGGAGCGGTGAGAGTGCCGAATTTGAACCACTAGGTCATCAAGACTAGCTTCCCTCCTCTTTTTTTCAATTATTGAGAGACATTTACTGGCCTCCTGGGCCCGGCCTGTGTGAGGTGCTTTATTTTGGTCTCCCGAGTCCAGTTTAAAAATTCTGGTTCCTGCTATAGCGTAATTTATCCTTTTGGAGTTGTTTTAGAACAGGTTTTCCTCCTGAGGTTCTCAGATGAGTGGCCCGTGCTCTTTCACTAAAATAAAGGAGCTTTTGGTAGAGGCAGTTGAAATCTGCATTTAACCCAAAGCCCTGCATCAGCATTCTGCCCAGGGCTCAGTGGCCCCATAGTCCTGGAGTCTGTCTGTGTTGTGCCTGTGTAGCCTCTAGTGTGGCTGGAACCTGCCCTTCTTGGAGCTGAGGAAACCTGGGTTGTGTCTTGGTTGTGTTTGGAGAGAGTGAGGAGGGGCTGAGGCCGCCTAGGTTCTTGCCCTGCTCCCCTGTAGCCAGCAGCCTATGCCTCAGGCAGCCTTGTGGACCTGGTGGCCTCGTCTTTCCAGTGGGCATGCTGCTGTCGGATCTGCCCTGGAGGCAGCAGCCAGCACTGGATACTGCCTTGGTAAGAGGGACTTGCTCTGTGGGCCAGCAGTTCCCCAGCGGGCCTGTGCTGGAACTTCTGCTGTCGTCACTGCTTTCCCTTCATTCTCCTCTCCTCACTCACCAGGAATTGTGAAGCAGATCCTAATTTGCCAGTCGAGGTCATCCAGCCTCTTCACCTGCTCTTTAGAAAGTATTCTAATGCACCTCCTCACTGCTTTTTGCATCAGCATCGGTCATGCTTCACTCCTCAAGGCTGGCTTCTTCCCCACAAAGTTGTCTCTGTCCCTGGATCTGTGCCTGCAAGGTGGTGGCTGCCAGCCCCGATGTGCTGGGGACATGGGTCCTTCATGTTGAGAGGAGGGAGGAGCCACTTGTTACCAGCACCTGCCCTCTTTAGGAGCAGCTGCCTCTCGGTGCTGGAGATTGGTTGGTAGTAGGCTCCATGGGGGTGCTAAGGAAGCCTTCTCTCTGGAGGAGCTTCCACCCATGGAGGGGAGATCAGAGCTGGAGGTGCCATCCCCCATGGCTGGCCCCACCCCCTCCCACTGTGCTTGTCCTCCCTGTGGTGAGGGAAGGGTGCAGCAGGTCCCCCCAAGAGTGGCCCACCAGAGGTACAGGGCATGTGTGTGGCCAGGCTGGCCATCAGTTCTGGGCCCAGGGTTGGCAGAGTTTCAGCCCCTCAGCTTCAGAGTGAGCTGCCCTGACGCTGCACACAGAGCACAAGCAGGTGGGCTGTCTCCTGGGCTCTTTGCTGGGGACCCCAACCAGCTACCAGAACTGGGGTTCTGTGAGGGCCTGCCGCCTGGGGTGGTCCCCACGGCTGGAGGGAGCAGCCCTGTGGGTGTGAAGCTCTGCTTTGGCCCCTTGTGACTGCTTGTCCTACACCAGTGACAACGAAGTGAGATCACTTGGGCGCCACCTCGCTGGTCTGGTGACCTGGCACACAGCAACCTCGTCTTTGTTCCCCTACCCATGTGGGTGGTTGGGAGCAAGGACTTCATGCAGGGTCTGGGGTTTGGATGAGCTTCATGGATTGGGACTTGGGATTTACCAGGCTGGAGACTGCCCTGGGAGGGGCAGTGGGGCCGCTGGGCTGGATCAGAGGTGGAGTAGGGAAGCATAGGGGACGGGTCTGAGTGCAGGATTAGGGGTGCAGCGTCATGCTGTTTGAGGGTATGTTCTCCCTGCCTACCTCGGAGCCTCCTTCTCCCCTAGGGGGCACCAGGCCAGACTGGGAGCTTCTCCCTTAGGAACAGAATTTCCTCTGACTGTAGTTGGGGCTCTCCTTGCCTGAGGTCCTGGTCTCCCCTCATCTTCCACCCTGATAGGCGCCTCCCTGGTTCTGGGAGTACACATACCTGCCATCCAAGGTGGCTGCCAAAATCCCTCCTCTCATCTAGTTTCCTCAATATTCAAGGAGCTCTTGTTTCAGGCAGTGCCCAAAGGAAAGATGACCCACCCCTCCCACAGTGAGGGAGAGGGCAGGGTGACTGACACTCAGGGCAATGACTTGTCTGCAGTCTCACAGGGAGATAGGATGGACAAGCTGACCGGATTTGTGGTCAAGGCCTGTTCAAGAAGGACATAAAATGTAGAACTTTACGCTAAGAGGGACCTGGGAGCATCCCTTGCTTCCCTCTGGGGCAGTAAGGAAACGACCTCCGCATAGGGTCGAGGAGGGGTTAGGGAGATCTGGGCGAGAGCAGAGGGTTGGGGGTTTGTTAAGGGGACGGCTGGGACAGAGCAGTTGGTAGGGGATGGGTGGCAGGTGCAGGCTGAGATACCAGGAGGGGTTGGGGGCAGATGTAGACCAAAGAGATAGCCCATGCCCTTGAGCTTCAGAGTTCTCAGACCCCGCCCTCCATCAAGACATGATGGGGAGCACCCCAGAGGTGACATGGCCACAGGGAGACCTGCTCAGTTTTGCCCTTTGGGGCTGCCTCTAGGAGCGGATGTCTGAGTGCCCTGGCTGGGCCACACTGGCCTAAGACATATACAGAAGGACTGCTCTGCCTCCCATACCAGGAGCACAAAGCAGCTGTCACTCTCCCTCCTTTCAGTCTAAGTCCACAGAAGGGCTCTTTGGAACAGGGCCCTGCACTCTTGATCATTTGTGAAATGAGCTCCTTTAAGATGGTTGTGAGTCAGTCAGTTTGGGAGCACATCCAATACATGGTGAGGTGGCCCCTTTGTTGTCCTGTGCTGTCCCCAGCCTCCCAGAAAGTGGTCTCCAGGGCTGGGTCTGCCCAAGACAGGTCTCCCAGTGTGTTTGCTAGTGAGGAAACTGAGGCCCTGGGTGCTCTGCCTGTGTGGACACAGAGCTGGGAGGCCTTCAGTGTAGGCACGCCGCAGGTGTGAATTGGGATTCTCTGAGGGGCTCATGTGGTGTGCTCCTCCCTGGGCCCTGTGTTGGTGGACATAGGCACTGACTGTCTTGTGGAGAACTGGCACTTCGGGAATTCTACTAGAGCCTGGCAGCTAAGTGGTTTTTTGTCCCCTGGTGAACTCTTGCATGGCTTTTTACATCCTGATGCTGGCAGTCTTCTTTCCCGTATCCTGCCCTGTTGGAACATCGAGGCTGGGTTCCGAGCGGCTCCTTTAAGAGCAAGCGCCCGTGTCCCAGACTCTGTTGTGGAATGCCAGCAGCCTCCCTGCAGACAGACATCACTGCGCTGTCGTCTGTCCTGTCTCTGTGAGGGTTAACAGCACTTCAGCTTGTTGTCTGGAACCGGTTCAGACTGGTTTTCTGGAAAGTGCTTTGTCTCTCAGACTGAATCCTGGGAAGGGTCATGTGGAGCCCAGTGATGTCATGGGATCAAAAACTGACTCAGCTGTTTTTTTCTTCTTTTCTTTCTTCTTTAAATCAAGATATGTACGTGCTGCAGGTATAGGGCGCTGGTGTGGTGATGGGCCAGGCCTCACCCCACTCAGTATACCTTGCCAGCGGTCAAAGGGTTAAGCGTGATCCCCACTCCTCACCCCACTGAGGTGAGCAGGGAGTGAGGAGGCCACCCCTCACTGAAGCGGAGAAGAATGGTTAGCCCAAGTCATTGCAGTACACAGCTGGACCCAGGCAGTGACACTCCTCCTGAGACAACATGGTCCCCCTTCCCAGATTCTAGACACCTACAGTCCAGTGCAGGTGCTCAGAATCCCATAGGCAGGGAGTTCAGATCTAGAACAGTTTTTCTCTGTTTGTTCTTGAGTCTGGAGTGCAGAGAATTCCTCTTCTCTCTGATAAGCAGCCACCTTCCATTGTTCTTGTCCAGGTCCCTTCAAGTCTCTGGCCCCAGATGGGGTGGCATGTAGCTCAGCTCCCCAGATGCTCCACTGCTGCTCTCTTAGACTTCCCCAGTGAAGAAATGTCCCAGACACACTTTCTTGGTCCTCTGTTTGTTGTACTTACTTCTGCCATCATCACGTGGTGAGGAAAACCAAGCTGACACTTTGAAAAGTTTCTAAGAAGGTAGTGTATTTGTTGTGCCAAGTCTAAATGTTGTACTTTCCCCTTCCCCCCAAGTTCAGAATGACTGAAGAAGCATGCCGAACACGGAGTCAGAAACGAGCACTTGAACGGGACCCAGTGGAAGACGATGTGGAGAGCAAGAAAATAAAAATGGAGAGAGCATTGTTGACTTCAGATTTAAATGCTGATGGAGACACGAGAGTGACACCTGAGCCAGGAGCAGGCCCAGCGCAAGGGTTGCTCAGGGGAGCAGAGGCGACAGCCATGGGCAGAGGCGAAGGGCAGGCAGGCGACGGGCCTGTGGATATGCGCACCTCACACAGGTGAGCGGGAGGGGCTGGGAACTGGAAACAGGTCCCAGTGTAAGGAGGTGGGGGCAAGGCCCTCCCTCACCCCCACAGGAAGCAGGTTTTGGTGGGTTGTCATGGAGATGGCTGTGACCCCAGCCCTGGCATCAGTGTGCTATCCTGGCCAAGGGACCTCACCGCTGTGGCCTGGACATCAGTGGCACAGTGTGGATCTCACAGGAGGGGGTGTGATATCCTCTTATCAGCTCCCTTGCCTGCAGCATGTCTTCATTAAACATGTACCTGCTGTCTGTCCAACTGGGTGCTTTTGGTTTATAGGAAAACTTGCATTTTTCCTTTGGTCCTGCCTCCCTGCTTTTCAGATCTGGAGCTCAGGAGGCCAGAGATGCTATGCCCTGCCTGGGTTGCTTGGCTAGGGGCAGAGTCAGGAGCCCAGTCCAGGGTACTCCTCATAGGTGGCACATTGCAGAGGAAGGGGCCACTCTGTTTGGGTCTTCCATGATGTGCTCTGTTGGTTTCTCCTTAGTTGCTACTTACTTTAAGAGTAACTTTTCTGATCTTCTGTTTTTGTGAGGTTCTTAAGGAAAAAGCTTGAAAAAAAATAAAACTCTGTACTACACCATTTCTTCACTCAGAAACCTTTTCTCCCACAGTTCAGTGGTTACCAGGGGAAGGGGGTTGCAGGGTGGGCACAGGGGGTGAAGGGGAGCACTTATGTGGTGACAGTAAGAAATAATGTACAACTGAAACCTCACATTGATGTAAACTATTATGAACTCAAAATAAAAAAATAAAAAAGAATAGAAACCTTTTCTCCCTGTAAAGAGAAATTCAGGCCTAGCTTCTGCTCCTGTGGTCATCCCTCTTCTCAGAGCTCTAGTGAGAGCTGTTCTCCAGAATATTCACACCCAGATGTTCCATGGGCCAGATGTCCCACCATGGGCATGTGGGTGTGGCCGTGGCTCCTGGCCAGCCCCACAACCTCTCTGTGGTCTACCCCTCGTCTCCCTCACTGTCTCTCCTGCAGATCCCTTCTACATCTTTGTACAGGGGTGGGGTTGGAGGGCGGTAGGTGCAGAGCTGAGGAAGCTGGGGGCTTCTCACATTCTCACTGAGTGTTGACCTGCCCCAACCTGCAGTCTTTGTGTTAAATTGATTATGGAGCCCAAACTGCTAGCATTGTAAGGACTTCAAAGCTTATCTGCCCTAGCATTTCTCAGCTTTAAAAATTCTTAACCTTCTCGAGATAAACGGGAAAATCCAACTGCATCCTACTGGGGAAACATCCTAGTCTGGGGGAATGTGCTTTGTGTTTCTGCTACCCGGAAAGGTCTTTTCTGTCTGGCTCTACTTGCTGCAATCCCTGTTCTAAAACCAGAGGATTCAAGTTCCAGAAAAAAATTGTAAGTCCAGGTCTCCTTTCCCTCCCTCTGACTGGTCCTCAGCAATATCTCAAGTGATGTCCAGATGGGTGAGGAAAAGGAGGAATCCATGGTTTTTTAGTTTTGTTTTTTTTTTTCTGAGGAAGATTAGCCCTGAGCTAACTGCTGCCAATCCTCCTCTTTTTGCTGAGGAAGACTGGCCCTGAGCTAACATCCATGCCCATCTTCCTCTGCTTTATACATGGGATGCCTACCACAGCATGGCTTGCCAAGCGGTGCTATGTCCACATCTGGGATCCAAACCAGTGAACCCCGGGCCGCCAAGAAGCAGAAAGGAATCCATATTTTTAGAAATCTGCTGGGTCTCTCTTGTGTTCCTCGTCTCCTGGTACACATTTTCTCCTGTAATCACCATGCTCCCCTTCAGGGCAGGCTGCTGAATTGCAGGGGAGAAGTTAAGTGTTGAAGGAGCTCAGAACTGGAACTGAAGCCCAGATCTTTCTGTTGCCAAAGCCTGGGGCTGCTTGTGGCCTCTAGTCTTCTTGGTCCCAGGCTTTTCCCACGTGCCCATTGGCTTCCAACCCAGGGTCATTTAGATGATATGACATTGTTTTCTGAAGTTAGTGGGGATGATATCCTTATGACTCATAAAGGACACAGGCAGCGAGGCACAGAGATTAACCCAGGCACATGGGACAGAGGTCTTTCTATAGGACTAGAGACACCCCAGGGCATTTGTGAAGCAGTGTGAGAGTGTGGAAAGAACCCAGCTTTGGAGGCCAGCAGGCAGAGTGGGAGTCAAATCATACTCCCTGACTGATCTTGAGCAAATGATTTTAGCCTGTGCTTCTTTAATTTGTAAAATGGGCAATAATCACTGCCTGCTGGTTCATGGGTGACAGATCAGAATTGGCCCCAGGGTCAGGGGAGGAAGTATTGGTGCATCTGCTCTTCATTCTTTAGTTTCACTCAAAACAAGATGTTGCCTGTAGAGCTAGTGTCTCCTTAGCTAAGTAGAATGTTCTGTCTAGTTCATTGGAGAAGTCCAGTTGTCAGTTTTGACAGAATTATAGGATCAGGTCCAGCCCAGAGCCATTCCAAAACTGTAATATGTTCTGAAGTGAATGGCCCTGGCTTCTGTGTTAGAAACAGGCAGTCTTTGGAGACTTGTTGAGAACGTCTGGCTTGGGACATCCCTTGGGAACCTGTCTATAGCTTGGTGTGGTTGCTCCATTGGTTTCCAAGGTTGGTGTGAAATCCCCCATAGGGCAGATCAAAAGGCACAGCTATATATCTAGTCACAGTTTAGGTTGGCTGCAGCAAAGAGGCTTCAGGTTCACTGGTCTTGTAAGACCAACTTGCCAATTTTAAATTGTCGTGCCAAGAGAATTTTATTTTTTTCTTTACCTTTTTAATTGAGGTATAACGTATATAATGATATAATGAAAAGTACACGTGTGTGCCACTTGATACATTTCACAAAGTAGACGTATCCTTCTAGCTCAATCAAGAAACAAGGGGCCGGCCCCGTGGCTGGGTGATTAGGTTTGCATGCTCCACTTCAGCAGCCCAGGGTTTCGCCAGTTCATATCCTGGGTGTGGACATGGCACTGCTTGTCAGGCCATGCTGAGGCGGCATCCCACATAGCACAACCAGAATATACAACTGTGTGTGTGTGTTGGGGGGTGTTTGAGGAGGAGAAGAAGAAAAAAAGAAGATTGGCAACAGATGTTATCTCAGGTGCCAATCTTTAAAGAAAAGAAAAAAAAAAACATTACTAGCACCCCCAAGATCCCCTTGTGCCCACTTGTTATACCTCCAAGGGTAGCCACTTTCTTGACTTCTAACAGCATTGACTAGTTTTTCTTATTTGTTGTGCTTTAAATAAATGGAATTATATAGTCTGTATCCTTTGCTTGCTTTCAGTCAACATAATGTTTGTGAGATTTAGTTATGTTGTTGTGTTTAGCAGTAGTTAATTCATTTTCACTGCTGTATAGTATGCTGGTTCTAGACTTTGTATTTGGGTTTTGTTTTTTTTTAAACTGCCTCATTTTCTTTCATGCTTTCTTATTCTTATGACCTAGTCTGAGCATGTTGAAGATTAGAGGGGTTTCTGGTGGCTTCTAAGAGAGAGAATTTCCTTTTTCTTTAAGGAAGTGGCTGGTGAATTGGAATCACCAAAATAGAACTTTGTTTTACTGCATTGGGGCAACCTGGAACAGGCAGAGGCAGAAGAAGCATAGGATTGGTTCTCTCCTTCTCTACAGTCCTCCTTCTTGTTTTTCTTTGGCAGTTTTTCTGACTTAGTCTCCCAATGTGTGTTGTGTTTTATTTTCAAAATAAAGCAAGACTGGAGGGCAACTTCCAGCAGTGGTTGAGTGGGGAGAGACTTAATTCTTTCGCCTCAAAAAACAACTATAAAGCAGGGTAGGATTGACCAGAAAAACCAACCATTTCACAGCACTCTGGAAATTGACCAGAGGCATATAACAATCTGAGCAGTGTTTGTGCTTAAGCAGCCGCTGACCTTCAGGTGAGAACAGTGAGATTCTGTGGCATTTGGCCTGGGGTTCCTCAGTTCTGCTGGTAGGGAGGTGCTGCCTGGCTGATGTAAGCTGTCAGGACCAACAGCTTCTCCACAGGAGTGAGAAGGGCTCACTCAATTTAAAGTGGTGGGTAGCAGCCCTGCCTGTTGCCTTGTGTGACAGTCTTGGAGATAGGCAAGTGGGGAGGGACAATGGCTCTATTAGCCCAAGGTTGCAGTCATGTTTGGGGCAAGACAGAAAAAGGGTTTTGAAGAAAAAATGGCCAAATGTTTTTGAGGAGAAGCTCACCCAAGAAGTTCAACAAACCTCAAGTAGCGTGAATACAAAGAGATCTATACCTAGACACATGATAGTCAAACTGTTGCAAGCCAAAGAAAAAGAAAATCTTGAAAGTAGCAAGAGAAAAACAACTCATCACATACAGAGCACCATTAATACGATTAATAGCCAACTTCTCACCTGAGACAATGGAAATCAAAAGGGAGTTGAATGATGTTTAGAGTACTCAAAGAAGAAAACTGTCAATCCAGAATTCTATATCTAGCAAAACTTTTTCAGAAATTAAGATGAAAAAGACATTTTCAGATAAAGACTCAGAGAATCTCTTGCTGGCAGACCTGCCAGCTCTTCAGGATGAAAGGAAATAACTTATTAGTAACTTAGGTTCAGAGGAAGAAATAAAGAGCACTGGAAATGGTAAATATGTGGGCTAATATAAAAGACTATTTTTTTCTCATTTCTTCTGACTTAAAAGACATAACAGTGTATGAAGTATTAACTATAACACTGGAAAGAATTGACAAAAACAGCCATTTCTGCTTTCTGGAAATTGACCAAAGGCAAACAACAATCTGTTGTGTTTATAACATATATAAGTATAATACATGGGACAATAGTAGTACAAAACAGGAGGAATGAAATGGAGCTTTATTGGAGTAAAGTTTCTTTATCTTACCAGGATCAAGTTAGTATTAATCTGAAGTAGATTGTGATACATTAATAACATGCTTATTTTAATCCCTAGGAAACTATTAAGAAAATAACTTTAAAATATAGTAAAAAAAATCAACAGATCAACAGGAG